TTGAGGGAACTGTGAAAAACAGGATAGGTGACAAAATGCTGGAGATGGGCAAATGCTGTTCTGATTTTGAAATTTTTTTTTAATGTTTTATTTATTTCTAGGAGAGAGAGACAGTGTGAGCAGGGGAGGGTCAGAGAGAGAGGGAGTCACAGACTCTGAAACAGGCTCCAGGCTCTGAGCTGGCAGTCAGCACAGAGCCCGACGCGGGGCTCAAACCCACGAACCGCGAGATCATGACCGAAGCGAAAGTCGGACACTTAACTGACTAAGCCACCTGGGCGCCCCAAATGTTGTTCTGATTTTGAAAAGGGGGAAGAATTTAGAGCTTGCTATTTCCAGACTAGAGAATGTGATGTCACTCTCAAGCACAGTTCTTTAACTGATTCATAAAGGGACACTTGCAAGTATCTCACACAGGAAACAGAGTCCATCTGGATCCAGCACAGGGTCACCAAGAAAAAGTCATATTAAATTCATTTCATTTTCTTCTCTGTGACAAAGATTCTAGCCTAACGGATTGGAGAAATATAGCAGGTATAATAGATACGGTACAATGAAGGGGTGAGCAGCAAAAAGGGCTAATTCAACCCTAGGGCTATATTAATAGAAGCATTACATGCAGCATAAAGGAGGTGATAATTGTTTTTCTTTCTCTGACCACATCAAGAGTTTCTCATCTAGAACTAGAAACACCTTTTTCTTTTTTTTTTTTTAATGTTTATTCATTTTTGAGAGAGACAGAATGTGAGTGGGGGAGGGGGAGAAAGAGAGAGGGAAACACAGGATCGGAAACAGGCTCCAGGCTCTGAGCTGTCAGCACAGAGCCCGATGCAGGGCTCAAACTCGGGAACAGTGAGATTGTGACTTAGGCTGAAGTGGGATGCTTGACAGATTGAGCCACCCAAGGCCCCTAGAACTCAGAAGTACTCTTAAAGGGGGCATCTGGGTGGCTCAGTCAGTTAAGCATCTGACTTCCGCTCAGGTCACGATCTAATGGTTCATGAGTTCAAGCCCTGCATCGGGCTCTGTGCTGACAACTCAGAGCCTGGAGCCTGCTTTGGATTTTGTGTGTGTCTCTCTCTCTTTCTGTGCTCCTCCTCCACTCATGCTCTGTCTCCCTCTCTCCCAAAAATAAATAAACATTTGAAAAAAGAAGAAGAAGAAGAAACACTCTTCAAGCAGGTTTTTGATAGATAGTATGATATTTTGGAGGTCCACTTGGCAAAACCTTTTTTTAAAGATTTTTTTTAATGTTTATTTATTTTTGAGAGAGTGAGAGCACACGCACAAGTAAGTGAGGCACAGAGAGAGAGGGTAAGAGAGGGTCTGATGTGGGCTCTGCCCTGACAGCAGCAAGACCGACGCAAGGCTTGAGCTCGTAAATGGCAAGATCACGACCAGAGGCGAAGTCAGACGCTTAACCAACTGAGCCACCCGGGTGCCCCAAGATTTTATTTGCAAGCACTCTTCACACCCAACGTGGGGCTCAAACTCAATTTTTTAAAGTAATCTGTAATGCCAAACGTGGGGTTCAAACTCAGGGCCACCCCTTCCCCTACCAGAGATCAAGAGTCACACGCTCTACCAACAGAGCCAGTCAGGCAGTCCTTGACAAAACATCTTTAAAAGCATACAGCTCTCATCTAGATTTCTGGCATCTGCTGAAAAACGGAAAGATCTGTCCAGGCCTACATTCCTAAACAGCAACAAGAGGTCGGACCCAAGTAGTGACTTTCCATTTGGACAGGACATGTGCTCTCAAGGGCTCCATAACCACCACAAGCCTTGCATCTACTGCCCTCACGGAGGTGGTAGACCAACTATCGCAAGTCATTTACTTAGCCAACTTCACTCATTTATTCTGTCAAGCACACAAAGGCACTTAGAGTTTGTAACCCAGGATACAGTGAATCCAAAGGAGAGTGAAGATGATTAAGCAGCAGATAAGCATCTTACATGAGTAAACGAGGATAATCATAGTCCGGGGGGCTAGGATCAGAGTTTCCAACCATCCAATGGGCAGCCATGGGGAAGTAGCATCTGTCTTGTTCTATGAACTCCCAAGGGGAAGATACTATAGAACCAATAGATGGATGTAAAAACCACTTACAGCAGCCAGAGGTATCCAAAGGTAGAATATGTGGACTTGGGAGGTGATGAGCTCCCCACCACTGGACATGTACAAGCATATGGTATACTACTGCATTGCAAAGACATAATCAAAGGAATTCGGGCATCTGATGAGGCAAGAGAAGGCATGGATCTGATATTTCTTGCAACAGAAAAAAAAAGTGTTAAAATATTCTCCTTAGGTCAATAAATTCTTCAAAAAGAGATAAAAGAGAATAAGTCAACAAAGAACTCAGTATCATTTTTAAAAACCAAAAATCCCCCTCACTAAATTCACAGAGGAACAAATCTATCTAAGCAGGCGAAGGGTTGCACCAAACTGGTCAAATGACGCCCAGGGAGAAAGGAAGCCAGCATCAGGCGTTATTTTTGGTGACTGGTCAAACATTCTTCAGAGGCAAGCAACAAAGACGAGGGATAAAAGTATGAGGGTAAACAATGGAACACGGTCAAGAGACAGCCAGTCCCCACCACGAAACCGCCATCTGCCACTGACATCAATCCTTCAAGGGGCAGCCTCAGGCAGACAGTGTGCCGGGAGAGAAGACCGGCTACCTTCACATTTCTGGCCTTGTGACCTTGCACAAGTCACTCGCCTTGACGAAGCCTCGGTCTCCTCATCTCTAAAGCTAAGCTCGCTCATACGAACACTTTCCGTACGTTGTGCAGGCCAAAAGTAGTGATGTTTGGGAGTGAGCCAGACAGAGAAACCGTGGGGCCCTGTGCGTACATCATCAGTAATTATGATGATGATTAACAAACAGAATTTTGAAACGAAAAGATTCCAGACGGCTTCGGGCACAGCAACATCCTGACCTAAGTCATGTGGGTGTCAATTCTAAAGGAATAAAATTCAACTCCTTTAACCAGAATGTAGAGACCTTTAGGGTCTGGAAGAGACAAGATCATCTGGACAAATTTCCTGCTGAAATGCATTGCCTTGGACTTGCTAAGTAGTTGTGAAAATAAAAGCAAAAGGTAAGAAAGTAAAACAATCAGCCAGAGCAATAAATGCTTCATTGATCCTCAAGCCAAGTTCACGGGCCCTGTGGTAGTAATCCAAAACCCAGACGAGCGTATTTCCTACCAAGACAATGCTAACAAAACCCCCAAACTCTCCAAAACTCAGCATCCCTTTCTCTAGGATGGGAGGCTCATGAGAACCTCAGTTAAAAAGAACGATAATAATCAGCCAAATTCGTCTTATAAAACATAAACTCCCTAAAAAGTGTGTACGCAAAGGCCGAAACTGGGCTTTTGTATTGGTGCAGTGGGGTGGGGGGGGGTGTTCAAATCTCTAACCAGTAAAGGGCTTGTGACTCAATTTTCAGCAAAGCTGAAGCACCCTAAGTCAGTTTTCAACACTGAGCTGAAACCTGGGGAAGGGTTTTCTGCTCCCTTCACCCCGGGGTCCACCCTCAGAGGTGATTCGCATGCCGGGCCTGACCAGGACTGAAAGACACAAGAGGGTTGGAGAGACTGGAAAAAAAAAAAACAAAGCCCTCCCCTAATGGCCGCTCCCGTCCCAAAGGTTCCCAAGCATCTGGAGCCGGAGCAGCAGCTGTGGATGCCGGCCCCCCACCGCTCCCGGGGAGGCGACCCGACTTCCCGGGTCGCTGAGTCTGGAGCTGCAGAAGCACCTAAAAGCAGGTGTGGCAGCCTCAGGTCACCTGAGCCCCAGATAATCAACTTGCTCAAATAGTCAGTCCTCCCATAATCTCAAGGGCAGGCGTCAGCATCCACCAGAGATGTATTTTGTCTTCAGTCCTTCGGTGGGGGACCACAAACACTCCCTGTGCCGCAGCAAGGACGTCCATGACCAGAGAGAAAACAGACACTAAGACACGCAGGCACAGGCTTCCCTCGGGGTCCCCGGAGAGAGGCGAGCGTGGTGCTTTTAGATTTGCCTTGCCAAAACTAAGCCTAGAACTCGTGAAGGTGGGAGAACCCCACCTGGCGTGAATGACGACTCTGCCCGCATTTGTCTCTGCGACTGAGTCCAGTTTCCTATTTTGCCTTGCTGGTGCGGAACTGGGGAGCAGCTGCCGAGAGGAGCCTGCACCCCGTGGCCCCAGAGCTGGAACAGGCATCCAGAGGTCATCCCACCCCGCTGGCAGGCTTCCTCTGGCGCTATGGAAGCCACGCAGCTCCTACCAGCCAAATCGGCACACGAAGCTGTTGGCTTTGAATGAAGGCTGATGACCCGACGCGTTAGCAGGCGGAGGGACAGTGATTGGGGCTGCACGCTGTGAGAGGATACATTTTCTGCACCGAGCTCCCTCTTTATGCCTAAATGCCTGCATTAGTTTGGATCAATATGCCCCATAACAGTTAATCCACGGCAACCCAGGCCGCCGAGAGACACTGACAAAGAAGTGCAGCCCAGGGATGCTGCTTCTCCGTGCACATGCATGTGACTTCCAGCCCAGAGAAAGGGGCAGGGGAAAGCAACGACAAAAACCAAAAAGAAGAAAGGAAAATAAAAGCGGATCGTTAAAAAAATCACATTAAGGGGCTTTCGGCGTGGGAGGGAGGAGGAGGCTGTGACTGTCAAAATGGCCTTAGAGTGACAAGCCACAGCCAAGATGATGGAGTATCCACGACACTCCTCAAGCCGGGCGTAGGATCCTCCTCACACACCTGCAATGCAGTGATTGCTGCCCATTCTATAATCCACACTCCCAGAGCCAGGGCTCTCTGCAGTTGAAACCAGTCTGGACTTGTGCGCCTGCCACTGTTCCTACTCACAATAAGATTATTGATGCAGAACAACATTTCGTGATGGCAGAAAGGAAAAGGGGTAAAAGAAAGCCAAAGCAAGAGAAAAAGGAAAGGGGAGGGGAAGCATGACTCCCCAGCCCGCATCTCACCTTTTATTTGGGCTTCATATTCAGCAATGATCTCTTTGTCTTTCTTGAACTTAGTTTGAGATGACATCTTCCAACGTGGCCAAAGGCACTGACAGGCTGTTTGATTTATTTCTTTTTCTTCCCCAGTCCTCTCTCAAGCCCTGGTAATCACACGGCTCTAGTCGATTTCACAGGGTTTAGGGACTAATCTCTCTTACTCGGCTGCAGAGCCGGAGGGGGAGAAATCCCTCTCGTTCCGGGAGGAAAATTCTCTTTACTTGCTGGAAAAATGTCTCTAGTAGCTTGGTCTGGTCAGCTCCTCTTGCAAAAGAAGAACTACCACCTCTAGGAGCACAGTAACCTGCCCCAGATTTTCAAGATTTTTCTTCCACAAAAAATGATAACCAAGAGCAATCACACACACATGCACACAAACACACTCACGCGTGCACTCTCGCACTCATCTGGACACACACACAGTCGTGATGCACACATACACACACACTCACTCACTCACACCCGCTCACCCACCCACCCACACACACACACATCCACACACACATCCACGAGAGGCGCGGCGCCTCCCTGCTTGTGCAGTCAGTCTCCGGCTGGCTTTCGAAGGCTCTGCTAAGGAGATGGTCAGGTTGCCAAAGGACCGGTCATCTCGCATCCTCCCTCCCTCCGGCGCCTCTGGTCTGATGTACAGTGAGGATCAAAGCCAGAAGAGCGAAATGGAAGTTCTCCGGCTGCAAGGCTTAAGCTCCGGTGAACCAGGGCTGGACTGCTCGCCCTGCAGGGCTGGCTGAGCGCTCCCCCACCCACCTCGTCACCAAGCTCCACCTCCCGGATTTTATAACAACTGACACATTGTAGCCTACAGGAGAGCAGAACTCACTGCAAGCAAAAAGGGGAAGAAATTCTCACAAAAGGGAAGGCAGCAGGAAAAAGAATCGGGTTGGAAAGGCATGAGAGGCCCCTGCAAACTCCATTAGCAGTCGGGTTAGGAATTTTTCTTCCAAAAACTCCAAACGGCTCACCTTTTCTTTGCACCGTGCAATTTAATTTCTCAAAGCAACGGCTATGTGACAGTATGTTACTCTGTAGGGATTGTCTAGCAGAGGAGAGAGAGACTGACCCGTGTAGGCAAGCTCATTAATATTTGTTGAGCAATTGCGGGGTGGCAGGGACAATGCCAGGCATTTCAGACATGCAGCTTTGCAAAGCTGTTGAGAGCCGGCGTGCTAGAAACACCCAGCTGCTTCACTGTCTCTTAGAGCTTCAGGCAAATCAATAACTCATTGAGCCTCAGTTTCCTCACCAATGAAATGGGATCTCTCTAGGGCCTTTTAATTCATTCTTTCAACAAATATTTATTGAAAGTTTAGCAGAGATCAGGCATTATTCTGGATATAGGGATACAGCAATGGTCAAAATATGCCCAGACATTTAAAAAAAAAAAAAATCCCTGCCCTCCTGGAGCAGTTCCAGGATCCTACCCTACACAACTCTGGGAAATCCCCACCAGTCATGTTAACATTCTCAGTAATGGTAGAACCCAGAATGCCCTGTGAACCGTGCCTCCTGGAGTCACACGACAGAAGAGGCCCAGGAAGGGGAAGATGAATAAACAAAATGAGTAAATTATACAACATGGGAAAGAAGGTAAGTGCTATTGGGGAAGAAAATATTATAGGGTAAAGGACTTCAAAACTGAGGGAGCTCTTAGGAGGATCAACTAAGAATGTAAAGCTAAGCTTAGGACAGCGCTGGGCACATAGTAGTAAACACTCCGTAAATGGTAGCAATTATTACCCCATGATATTCCCCCAAAAGAAACCTAACAACACAGTATAAGCATCCCTCTTTCACAGATGATGAAAGAGAGGCACAGATATGGGAAGTGACTTACCCAAGGTCACCAGCATATTAAAAAATAGGGCTATCTGACACCAGATTTTGACCATGCAAATACTCGAGTATCCCGCATTCTACCAGAGAGATTAAACCTATTTCAGGGGCCCTCGGATGGCTGTCAGTTGAGCATCCAACTCTTGATTTTGGCTCAGGCCATGATCTCACCTTTCGTGGGACTAAGCCTCGCTTCGGGCTCTATGGGACAGAGCCTGCTTGGGAGTCTCTCTCTCTACCCCTCCCCACCTCATCCATGCACAAGCTCATGCACACACACTCTCTCTCAAAATAAATAAATAAACATTTACAAAAACATTTCAGAGGCACTTAGGTAGAATAAGATTTGTTCTCTAAAAATGAAATCAAGCACGGGAATTACACATATCAAGATTGTCCTTAATACCTATTATCCCCCAAGTTTGGTATTTTCACAAATTTCTCAGAACAGTCTTACGTTTGCCCGTTACATTGTGTATAATAAATAATTGGATTTGGGTTCAGAAATGAATCCATGCCAGTCCACTGAGGTTTTCCAGAGGGGGCGGCAGTTGCAATGGATCTCCTCAGACAGGCATGGGGCCCGGGGGCAGGGAGGTTCTAGGGGGAGGTCGGGAGGAGACAGGAGATTCCTACGTAGCAAACAGTATGAGCTAAGCCTGCAGATGGGGAGGCAGAGAATCTGCCTGGAGAGAGCACATGGGGAAGTCCAGGCGGTGAAACACAGGGCTTATTACAGCTTCATGTCCAGATAGAAAGTCACAGAGTTGATAGGGACTGTCCCCCAACCCGTGCCATCACCCCCCTGCCTCACACTTCCCATGGGCATGCTCAGGCCTCTGAGGTTCCCCTCTGGACCAGTTTAAAACAGTGAAAGCCACACATGTTACCTGAGAAAGATGTGCTCAGAGATGAGCATCCCTGCCTCAAGCCTGACTCTCGAAGGAAAATAAGAGTTAAGTAAGTACTGCACATCTTGGGATATGACAGACTGGACTCCCCGCCTGGCTCTGCCACAGTAGTTCTGAGAACCTGCTTCTTGCCTGTTGGAGGCAGGAACCAGTGCATGTGAGCCTTTCGCATCATTACTACGAGTTCGAGTCCACATGTGTTTCTGGGAGACCCATGTGCAGGCGCTGAACCACAGGAACGTCACCAAAGGGTATACGAAACTGAAGGGAGGTATGGCGTAGAGCTACATGCTGAGCGGCAAAGGACGCTGGATTTGGGTGTGAGACAGATGGCGATGAAAACTCCAGCTCTCCTGCTTACCAGCATGGGGCTGGCCCTGAGCAGCTTCTATGTCTCTGCTGAGCCTCACTCCCATTTCCTCGCCTGTAAAATAGGTGGTGCTCTTACTCATGGCTCAGGATCCAACGTGATTATGAGCTTAGAGTGCCTGGCACGTGGCAGAGGTCCCACAGATGTCATTTCGTTTTCAGGCCCACCCGGCCAGGGCTTAGAATCAGAGCTGGGGCTCCACAGATCCCTCAGTTAGGAACAGGAAGAGAGAAAAAAGAAAAGAAGGGCTATGCCCCCTGCAAATGCATCACCACACACAGTGAACCCACATCGTCCAGAATCTCCCTTTCCCAAGAGGAAGTAGTATGACTGGGGCAGGCCCCCCGGTACGATGTCCTCCACCTCCCCCTTCCTGTCCTCACCACGGCTCAGCGCGCTTCTGTGACCCTCCCCTCCACGTGGTCACTTCTTCCCTGCTGCCACACCTGATGACTACCCTTTACAAGGTAGTAACAGAGCTCAGATTTTTCCAAAACTAAGTGTGCTATGCGGTGGGCCAGGGGCTCTACTATGTAATTTGATCTGTGCCACCCCCAAGGCTGGGAACACCCACTGAAAGGGTATATTCCATTTATCTCCGGCTCATTTCCTAAATTCTTTTAGTTATTCTGAATTATACTAATAGCTAATATTTATTGAGACCCCATTCCATCCGGGCACTGGGCCAAGTACTTTATTTAGGTTTTATCACTGACTTCTTGCTACAATCCAGTGGGTCAGATTCTGTAATCATCCTTGTTTTACAGATAGGGAAATAGAGGCACAGAGCAATGAAGCAATTCCAAGATCACACAACTAGCCACCAACTGAATCGTATTCAAATCCAAGTCTGACTGATATTGGAGCCCAAGGACTTAATCGGCATACATTCTATACCAGAGCAATCATCGTAGGAATAACTGCTGTCAAGTATTGACTTTTTTTTTCAATCAATACAGTGTTCAACCTAAAGTTTGCCATTAAAAAAAGAATTTAGGTTTAAAAACATAAGGAAGGGGGGCCTGGGTGGCTCTTTCAGTTTACGTCCTTCTTTGGCTCAGGTCATTCTCTCATGGTTCATGGGTTCAAGCCCCACATTGGCCTCTGTGCTGACACCTCGGACCTGGAGCCTAATTCAGATTCTGTGTCTCCCCCCCTCTCTCTGCCCCTCCCCCACTTGTGCTCTGTCTCTCTCTCGGTCTCTCAAAAATAAACGTTTAAAAATTTTTTTTAATTTAAAAAATAAGGAAAACATATCAAAAATGGCCATTGATGAGGCTTAAATTACAATTACAGCTGAAAAACACAAACCCACTAAACTGGTTTCTCTTCCTGGTAGGAAAAAAAAAAAAAGATTCTACTTGGAGGAAGAATGACCAGAAAAGTTTTGGGTTTAAGGCATTTTTTGGTCAAATATGAAAACTCCCCAAGATGACTAATAAGGGTTGATATCTTCTGTGACATTCCCCAGTGCTACCAACTACTTCATCCTTGGCTGGCTCAGTGACTAATTCTGCCCTTCAGTCTCTGCTCTGCAAAATGAGAGCAACAACAGAACTCAGCTAGTTAGTGCCAGAATCGCATACGAAGTAAGAGTGGCGACGACACAAGCCATGCGTGTATGTACTGGTTTATATTTTATGAAGCCCTTTCATATTGTTTATCTTAGTTGGTCCTCACAATAACCCTGGCAGAGAGCACAAGTGGCCTGTTTTTAATCCCTGTCTGAGGAAAGGAGCATATAAGTGGCAGCTTTGATGGGAGAATTATTTTAGAACCTCACATATAAGGATGGCCTTCCTAACTATGTCACAAAACCCATAAGCCGTAAAAGCCTGACACAGTCAAGTACATAACTATTTTTTAAAAATTCTGCCTGGTTAAAAAGCACTATAAACAAAGTCAAAGACAAAGTGCAAACTGAGGAAGAATATTTGCAGCACCTGCTTATAAGCCAAGGACTAACTTCCCTACTACACAAAAACGTACAAATTTCCCTAATGTACAATTCCAACAGATACTTGGACATGGATGTTCATAGCAGCACCATTCATGAGAGCCAAAAGGTGGAAACAATCCAAATGTCCATCAATAGAAAGATGGAGAAATAAAACATGTTCTATCCATATAATGGAATATTATTCAGCCATAAAAAGAAATGAATGATATGATAATGATACAATATGAATGAACCCTGAAAAGCATTGTGCTGAGTAAAAGAAGTCAG